AAACCCCCCAAAAAAAAAAAAAAAAAAAAAAAAAAAAACCCAAAGGAACCAAAAAAAGAGAAACAAAGAGTAGGCATTAATGAAAGGGAAATGAGTAAACAGAGAAATCAACAAAACAATGGTCTGACTGGGTGAAAATACCAATAGAATTGACAACCCTTTAAGACTCAAAGTTAAATAAGGGCAGACAAATTATCAAGGAAACTAGGGCACCATTATGCTCTCAAGATAGAGCAAGGGCTTAAAGGAAAGCCTGTGAGCACTGTCATTCTTTCTGTTTACAAGCCAGGTAGTGTGTGTGCTTGGCAGAGAGAGACAGAGACAGAGAGACAGAGCCAGGTAGTGAGTGTGCTTGGCAGAGAGACAGAGACAGAGAGACAGCCAGGTAGTGTGTGGCAGAGACAGACACACAGAGAGAGCCAGGTAGTGTGCTTGGCAGAGAGACAGAGAGCCAGGTAGTGTGTGTGCTTGGTGGAGAGAGACAGAGAGAGAGAGCCAGGCAGTGTGTGTGCTTGGCAGAGAGACAGAGAGAGACAGGTAGTATGTGTGCTTGGCGGGGAGAGAGAGAGTGAGCCAGGTAGTGTGTATGCTCGGCAGAGAGAGACAGAGAGAGAGAGAGAGCCAGATAGTGTGTGTGCTCAGCAGAGAGAGACAGAGAGAGAGCCAGGTAGTGTGTGTGCTCGGCAGAGAGACAGAGACACAGAGAGAGGAGGGAGAAAGCATCCCCTCCCAATGGGGGGTAGGCACATTGCAATCCTTTCTCCATTCCTCTACCCTGTCAGGATTTGGGATACACATGCACGTGCACCCAGCGTTGTGAACTGGACTGCCAGGGGGGTTGGGCCAATGGACGTAGAACCGGTTCAGTAACTGAACACTGGAGCCACTCAGAGTGGGCTGGATGGCTGGACACGCTGTGGCAGGCTAAGGCGGAGTCTCCACAGTCTTGGTGGCCGTAGTGGTGGCACTGGGCCCCTGAGAGGCCCAGGTGTGTGGCTATGCACCTGCCGGGCCAGTGGTGTGGGGCAGGAGAGCCATGACCCATGTGTCCCAGTCTTAGAAACGACTCCAGTTGACTACAGTTCGAGACTCAAGCTGGCGGCCTGCTTTCTCACTTTCTGTTTCTCTCTGGTCAAAGTAAAAAGCAGTAATAACAAATGAAATTAAATACTCACTCACTCACTCCGGGGACAGCACTCACTCCACACTGCCCAATCAGCTCCCTACCCGAGCACAGATGGCCCCTAACTCCTAGCGATTACAGATGGGACACTTGGCCAGCCAGAGCCAGCGACAGCCTGCAGGCTCGCCAGGCAGGACAGCAGAGCGTGGGGCAGAGGGCCGCGCCAGGGGCACAGCCCCGATGGACCCAGACAGCCCTATGGCCTGGACAGCCCGACAGCCCGGATAGGCCCGGGGTTGCAACCCCGGACAGCCCCGACAATCCCGGACATCCCGACAGCCCGCGCGTGTCCGGGTCTCAACGACCGCCGGCTGGCAGGGCGTCCTCCAAAGGGCCCGACTGAGGCCGCCGGGGTGTGGTCGGGAGGGGACGCACGGCGGGCGGCTCCGCAGTAGGGAGGCCGGCGCCGGGGAGCGGCCAGGGCCAGGGATGCGCGTCCTTCCCCGCGGCCGCACGGCTCCAGTCTCTGGAGAGGAAGCAGGGCCGGGAGGAGCGGGCAGCCAGGGCGGGCAGCCAGGGAGGCGTCGTGTCGCCGCCGGGCCGCTCTGCGGGGCGAGGGCGGCAGGGCCCAGGGACGGCTCGGCCGCCGCCTTCTGCCCGCCGGGGACTAATGCCACTCGCGAGCCGGGATTCTCCTCGGCCCTCCCGGCCCCGATCCCGGCCGGGACCCGCCCGGCCGGCGTCCCCACAGCCCCACCTTCAGCAGGCTGGGCAGTGCCGCGCAGCGCTCCGCCGACAGGG